GTCTTTAATATGTTTGGCCACGAGTCTATGGATTTACTCATTGTTTCCAAAGGAAATTGGAAATTACGCCACTGCTTGCTCCAAAGATTTTAAGAGACTCAATGTCGTCGTGTCGTTTACAGCAGGCCATGTCCTCTAAAACTGACTTTAATTTGAAGTCTAAAGAGTTGAGGTCTAGTGAGTGAGTAATGAGGGCCAGTCTTCAGCTCTTATAAAGTCCGGAACCTTGGTTTCAAGCCAGGCTTGGGTAATTCGTGCCTTGTGACCAGGTGCAGAATCCTGCTGGAAAGACCACAGTTTATTTTTAAAAAGTGTACTGATGTGGGGTTTCACAACCTGATCCAAGACTATACCTTGATACACTTGATACACCACTTGATACAATTTCACTCTTTTTTCACAAATTTAATTTTATGACTCCTTGATAAGACACGCCCCACCAAACCATCACTGACGCAAGATGTTGACCACGTTGTATTATATTAAGCAGCTTCTTTAGAACTGTGAGCGTACACTTTATAATTTTTGTTATTGTAATGTTCTTCAATCGTAAAAATGTTTTCGTCGGTAAAGGGGATATTTCTGTGCTTTTCACCTGCGTATCACGACTGAAGGCGTTTTGATCGATCCACTCTTTTTAATTGTAAATATTGATTACGGGCATGTTCTGTATATCCACTATAAGCACCGAGCTTCAGGTCTTGTTTTATAATACGCGAGAATCCTAGCGGGAATTTTCATTTCTAGCGATAGGATGTTTTGCCTTTGTAGTTGTAACAGCATGCAGCCGCCCCGATTTTTTCTGGTTTTCGACAGACGAAATGTTGTTGTATCTGTTGATAGTACGATATACAAACATACGGCTGATACAAAGCTTTTCGGGAATATGACCGGCTTCATGCCCACTTTGTGCAAAGCGTTCACTAATCAACTTAACACCCCATTCCATATTGTAATTTGATAATGAACTCGAAAAAATATGTGAAATATCGCAAAATCGAAAGAAGTTTTTAAAATAATATACGTGTTCCAAATTCAAAACAATTAAAAAAACAAAAAAAAAGTTTTAAAGTAACAGTATTTATGGCCAGACTAGTTATAAGTAGTATTGTTCACTGGTTCCTTTGCTTAAGTTCTCTGAAGACTAATGATTATGACTCTGCTGACAATGAACTTAAACTTCGTTCTTACAATTACTCCTTGATTAGTCTTGGTAACAGCCATTACAGTTCCTAACATGTATAGTAAAACTTCACTAAAACCCCATATTTTAGGTTCCTTTGCCATATTACTATTCAAAGTTTATATATGAATTTTATCTCATCATGCCGATATAAGTAGCAACTCACACAATAGGTGACAAGCGTTACTTTAATGCTTTAAAACAAAATTTATTGATTTCTCTAAACTGTATTATCCATTATATTGTCCTCATTTGTGCTGAGAAAGAAACAAATGTTTTAAACACCTTTGATTTACTCTTTACTTACAACATTAATGATAAATGTCAGGCGATCATTATAGGCAGTTCACGACAAATTTCACAGCTGCATTCGAACACAATTCCTGCTGTTATGTTCAATGGTGTAGTGATCCCGTATTCTACAAAAGTAAAAAACCTTGGGCTTGTTCTTGACCACACGCTTAGTTGGGATGGCCAAATTGAAAATATGTGCCGCAAGATAAACGGAACACTTGGTTCGCTTTACCGCTTGAAAAATTTTCTCCCTCCATGTACCAAAATCTCCCTTGTACAATCCCTTGTTCATCCCCTCTTTGATTATGCTGATGTTTGTTTTACTGATATAAATCAATTATTTCATACTAAATTGGATCGTCTTCTCAACAATACCATTCGCTTCGTTTTTGGTTTACGTAAATACGACCACATCTCTGAATACCGTTATAAACTTAAATGGCTGCCTGTTCGAGAGCGTAGGTACTTAAGGACAGTGTGCACCCTTTTCAACATATTATACGATCCATGTACCCCTGGATATTTGAAATCTAGGTTTCAGTTCCTGGGATCTTCTCATATATTAAATCTGCGGTCCATTAATAATCTGATACTCAATGTACCCATTCACCACACTAGGTTTGTCTCAAACTCTTTTACCGTTACTGCCGTTCGGCTCTGGAATGCACTTCCTTTGAACGTGCGTAACGCTCCGAGCAGGATTGTGTTTAAGACTTTGGCGCGGGAACACTACCTTAATCAATTGCATAATGCTTAACCACAATCAGAGTACTGTAATCCGACAAAGTATATGTGTTATAGGTATATGTGTATGTATGTATATATATATATATACTAGTGGACCCGACAGACGTTGTCCTGTCTACACGTCTTTGTGAATCTAAACCATTCTCAGATCCCCTTGAACACACACAAAAAATTTCATCAAAATCGGTCCAGTCGTTTAAGAGAAGTTCAGTGACATACACACTCACAGAAGAATTATATATATAAAGATATATTTATTTATGTATAGTGTTTGTGTATATATTTATATAAGTATGGTTGTATGTATAGTTAAGTGTTAGTATATTTGCTCATTGTTTGATTTTAATATCTCTTCTTTGATTCTGCCGTTTTTTATAGCTCTGTATGTTCTTTCCGGTTGACTGGTAGAGAATGCCATATTGGCATTAAGTCCGCCATTTGCAGTGTAAAGGCAACAAAGATTAAATAAATAAAAATAAATAAACATTGAGTTTCTTAGTGAACTGCAACGAACCATCATTATTATGCAGTGAGTATTTGAGTATTTGTAACCGCTGCTTTGTATTTAAGTTAAAAACAGGATATTCAAACATTTCACATTATTTTTAGATAGATTAGCTAATTTTTCATTGACAACTATTTTTATATTAGTTGCAAATTATTAATATTACTGATATATAAGTAATCTGCCAGTTAATTAAGGCAAATGCCTTTTAAAGTATAAAAAAAATATAGTAAAACATGATATACTCGTAGTAATACTCCTTATTGTATTTGAGGAGCTCGATGGCGCCAGTGGTTAGCGCATTCGGCTGCGGTCGTTGAAGTTGAGCAACTTGCGCAGTGGTCGGTCATTGGATGGGTGACCAAAAATTTACTATCTCGAGCTCCTCCGTGCTTCGGAAGGCACGTTAAGCCGTTGGTCCCGGCTGCATCTGCAGTCGTTAGCACCCATCAACCCGCACTGGGCCCGCGTGGTGGTTCATGGCCCAATCCCCCTAATCAATCCATAGGGAAGGCCTGTGCCCCAGCAGTGGGGACATTAATAGGCTGATGATGATGATGATGAATACACCTTAAGAACAATTATGATATGTTTTTTATTTACAAAATGTTTTTAATTTAAATAAAGGTGCACTAATAGGCTTAAAACCTTATCATATTAAATAAGTGGCAGACTGAACATTCATCCTAAAGTAAAAATGTCACAGTGATTAATCAAGATTAATGTTTCTTGAGAGCATTATGAAGCTAGGAAGGTCGTCGCAATATATCTTTCGCCTCAAAACTCCAGGAAAATGTTAATCTTTACTCTCCCTTTAAATATACCAGAGATGTTTCGTAATCGTAACCAAAACTATTGAAAAATTCATGATTCATTTCTTTGTGGGGAACCCGTCAACCATTTTGTCGCAACAAATTATGTTTTATAAATTTATATACTAAAATATTAAGGTATATATAAATAATATAATTATAGAAAACAGATTTACACTGCATATGCAATAAAATTATAAACATTACATAAACATAAGTACATGGTGTACACTGTTTGTGACAAATAAGTTTATAAGGACTTGTTATTTACTCCCAAACCCATAACCACATATTCATTTGTCCTCTTGTTTTGGTTAAACAGATCAACATGCTATTATGCTTCGCTGCTCAATTCCCTGCGCGTAAGAAACAGTTGACTTTGTTTTTTCGAGAATCCCAGAGAAACCTAACATTATTACGGGATAAATATATATATACATACTAGTTGACTCCGCGTGCTTCGTACGGGTTACAATAATTTGGAAGAGTTGACGGACCCGAGTCTACCGTACCAAAAGGGAAGAATGTCAAATGTTTGACAGCAAAGAAGATATAACAGTTTATATGGGAAAATTAAATTGACGTTTTTACTATCTTCCTAGTAAATTTTTCCCTATTTTCTCACCTTTTAATCCTTTTCCTTGACCTCCACGAACATTTCCAGACCATGATAAGATAAATCAGTTCAGCCGTTCTCGAGTTTTAGCGATACTAACGAACAGCAATTGTTATATATATATATATATATATATATATATATATATATATATATATATATATATATATATATATATATATATATATATATATATATATATATGCATCAGTTACAAATGCTCGTATTCATTATACAAACATTTTGCCCCACCATGATTTGGACGCAGGACCTCACCTTGTAAACCACTCTGCTACGGCGGAAGAATTTCACAAAAAATTCTGCCATTCGCATTCATCATCATCATCATCATCATCATCAGCCTATTAATGCTAGAACGCTAAGGGTTCAGATAGTGGCGGTGAAATTTCTCCCTGCGACATGTGATGTGGTGAAGGAACTTCACCGCTGGCACCAGATTAAATAACTCTTCGGAACAATCTCCATTATATAGACATTACAACACACATCATCAGCCTATTAATGTCCCCACTGCTGGAGCCCAGGCCTTCCCTATGGATGGAAGAGGGAGATTGGGCCATGACCCACCACGCGGGCCCAGTGCGGATTGGTGGGTGCTAACGACTGCAGATGCAGCCGGGACCAACGGCTCGTGCCTTCCGAGGCACGGAGGAGCTCGAGATAGTAATTTTTTTGGTCATCCATCCAATGACCGACCACTGCCAAAAGTTGCTTAACTTCAACGATCGCAGCCGAACGATCTAACCACTTGCGCCATCGAGCTCCTCTCGCATTATCAAATATTATTTTTAAGGGGTCAGTGATTTACTAATAAAACAATTTTCACGATCATATCGTTTAATTCCGATTCAATTTTAATATCCACCAAACCATTTATGAAACACCTTTGATTTTCTCTTTATTTACAACATTTAGTTTCTTTTAATATAAACGTATATTTTCTATTTTTATAATATTTCACAAATATTATTTACAATAGGACTAAATAGGATCTACAGTTTTTATTTTAGATATAGCTGAACCTGTAAAAGTTTCAGAAACCTTCAACCAAAAATATGATTTGCTCAAAGCACATTTATTTACAAAGGTAGTAGTAGTAGTACTACATAATAATATGTTTTAACGATATCAAGTTTGAGTCTCGTATTGATATGAAATGTCCCTCTTTTATGCAGCATTAGGTATCTGAAAGGTTAGTTAGGTAATTAAAATGTATATAGCATGGCAAACTGTCTGTCTACCTGTCTGCCTGGTGTTAAGCGTAACATCTATAAGTAGCATTCGGTTCTTAGCGACCGACCGCGACGAAGACATTTTGAGGGACAATACTTGGAGAAGAATAATTGCTAAGGCATGAAATACTTGTGTACTATTAAGTACTGGTCTATTTGATTACGGTGTATTCGACTCTTGATAATTTGTTTAAAACATTGCTTTAAATTTGTGGGATTAGTGGTGTTGTCGCGGTCGATATCATCGGAGAGCTAGGCGACGCCGCGCGACCATTGACATTTTGTTTAATTCTCCCACTTTTTTTTACTTCTTGAAAATGCGTGACACGCACCCCGCCGCCCCGGGAGTGCGGTGAGGCTATGTGGGAATCCTCCCCTCTCCTATCGCTTGGGAAGAGCCCTCTACCTACTAAAAATGCACAATGCACCTTACCTCACCGTAGGGCCGAGATCTCGTCGGGCGGAAGACCCACCATAAGGCGGTACTCCGCCCGGCGAGATTAAGGCACTAGGTGAAGCCACGGGAACCTTTCCGTATACTTCCGCGCCCCCACCGGTGATTGTCCGACTGGAACGGACACACCCAACTTGGGGATGCATCGAGGCATCAGGGGCATCCCCATCTATCACCAAAGATCTGTGCAATGCAGAGTCCTCTCAAGAGAGAGAGGACCTCTCAAGTCTGGACCCCGCTGGGCTTTGTGGGTGATGACTATGAGCCGGTCAAACCACCGTCTCCTAACCCCCACCCTCCGACGCCGGGGCCGGAGAGAGTCCGCGTGGGCTAGTGCCTCACGGACTCCCTCAGCATTCATAAAATTCTCCTGAAAGGGTATTTAAATGAAATAAAATTTTATATTTATTATCTGAAAAAATAAACTGAGTTGTTATTAAAAAAAGGTAATAATTGTTGGGATTTCAGTATAATAATTTGGAACGAAATATAAAAGTTCGGATATTTCTTATCCGATAAAATCAATATTTCTATTATTGTACTGAGAAATTGTCATCATGAAGTAGTTAACGTTATGAAGTTATGTCACAGGCATAGATCGAAACAGATAACTCAAGTGTATGTAGTTCGCATGCTAAAAGGGAGATTAATGTTCACGTTTTACGCTAATTTATTTTTTCGCGTCACCGTTATATCAATATTAATGTTTTAAAACATCTAACTATGTCATAGTAAGCTGTAAAAACGATATACATATATATATATTTTATTTATTCAGCAAATATTTACATAAAAAATAATTTATAATTGATATGCTATACAGGGCGTCCCACAGTCATGCCACACGGAGGGATGACATGCCAATTATATTTAATATTGACCACAGGATATTTGACTAAAAGAATACATCATTTTATTTTTAATAATAAGAAGAACAGCCGTCACAGTTTTTTTTAAAATCACCTGCCACAACCAAGAATCAGTCTCGTGAAATGTGAAACAAAAAAAACACATGATTTTATGATAACTGTCGCAAAGTTAATCATAAGGATTATTATTTTCTAAATAACAGCTTTTTAAATTAAATTACATAATCATGAAATTTGATATTTTATCTGAAATAAACACAAACTACTATGAAAACAAAACGGCTCAATTTTTTCATTTAATTTATCAAATGTTTAAAATGTATTGCATTATGTAGTATACAAATTCTTAGTCTTTTAATAATTTATCTCGATATGTTGATTAACTGAACTTTGCGCGGTGAATGTGAAATAATACGTCAAATTTCAGTTTTGTAATTCCTGCACACTGTCGTACCGGTTCTTGTAAACTATATCTTTTACATAACCCCACAAAAAAGTCAGTCCCCTAGTAATTGGAACAATACAGAAAAATGCATACAAGTACCTTTCACTTTTGTATAATTATAGATTAATATTTATTTTTCACGTACTTATAATAAGGAAATCTTGTAGGTGAGTATGCACTAGTTAGTATATAATACTTTGAAATGATAATCTTAGTTTTTGGAAGCACGGAAAAGTTAGAGTAAATTTTCCTGAACAAAATTTTAATTTCATGATCTTCCTTTCATTTAAAATGCTATGTTATTTAGGAACGAATAATCCTTATGAGTATCTTTCGGTCCCTAGGTAGTCCCTTTCGAAGGTTATCATAAAATTCGTCGTGTTTTTTCCACATTTCACGAGCTTGATTCCCGGTTCTGGCAGGCGATAAAAAAAAATTGTGACTGCAGTTCTACTTAATATTAAAAATAAAATGTTATATTATTTCAATAAAATATCCCATCTGTCCTACGGCCATGTATATTGTTCACATGAGTACTTAAAATTTGACACGCGCGGTTTCCATACAATTTGCAGTCCATGCAGCGCCGGCGTCGACTTTCATATAGATCTGTGGAGTATGTATGTTCAAAAAGTATTCAATGCTTCTTACGATACGAATATCTCGATTATTTTTTAAGCCACTTATCACATAAATAGGAACTGACAAATTAATAAAAACGCAATGTGAAATACCCTAATAATAATAATAAATATTACAACAATAAAATCTTCTGTCAATTATATTCTTTTCAACATTTTTCTAATTATACTAAATTATTTCATAATAGTTACTTTAAACATTCATATGTCTCTTTAGAGCGTTTGTTAACGAATGATTTTCCATCGAGTCTAGGCACGGTTTCTTCCCGAACCGGTGCCGGCTAAGTTTGTTCACGAGCATGGTTTGTACCGACTCCAAACCGTCGCTAACATCGGGATCCATAACAAACCTCCTCATTGTCCCATACTTACTGACGATCGGATGTAGACATGGTTGAAAACCGTGCCTAGACCCGGGCAGAAATCGTCTCGATAACAAGCGCCCTTTCACTTTGTGATACAGTCGAGACCATATCAGTACATACATTTGCACATCGAATGTCATCCGTATTGCTACCTAATAAAGTACGCACTAAATGGCCTCGACTGTTGCATATTTTTTTTTCTCTGTAACAATAATGTATTCATAATCCATCGCGACTCGTAATTGATTACAATGACTAGATAATTTTACGAACACTGACTAAAATGAAAACATGCCACTTCTATGCTCAATATTGTATCAAGTTTAAAGAAAGGCAAGTTTAATACAAGAACAAGCGAATACTCCTAAATATAATTTGCATTAATTCTACTCAAGGTTTAAAGATAAAAATGGAATAGAACTGAGATCATTGATTAGGTATATTATTAATAAAAACATAAATTGACCTAAAATACTACAGCCAATGTCAAAGTAATTCTAATTACTTATTAAACCATTATTGCTGCTTTACAAAAAATCCACTCAGTCTTTGTAAATTAAGTGTAGTTTACAGTGGCAATTTCTATATAAATGCAAATGTCCTACGTTCAAGTTTACAGGTACAATTATGAGGTCACAGTAAAAGCGGTGGCAGACTAGCAGACGGTGGCTTTTTTTCTGCGCGTCTACGGTCGTTTTGGCTAAACGCCCTACATTGCGTGCTTCTAATAACCGGACTCGCATATACGGGCATATTTCGGCGAGTTAGCTCAAACGGTAGTGGTGTCTCTCACGGTTCGCGCTTATACGAGCTTACAAGCTCGTCAACGCTCGTACGAGTTGAGCGAATCACAAAAGTTGCGCCTATATGCGCCTACATACACTTCCAAAAAAGAGCTTTTACGCGCGTATAAAACGCTAGTCTGAAACCACTGTAAAGATAAGGTTCTATTTTGTGCGCCGCAATTTAACGAGTGATGCAGAGCTTATCGAAAAATAAAATATTAAAGTAATTTGTATGCGAAGTATTATCTACAGAGATGCAGGTTAAAGATGAAGCGTATTTAATTAAAGCTCGTGTAGTGACTCTTAAACAAATTGAGATCGAACATTTGGTCTGTTGACTGAGAGCGCTCCGATCCCAGGATCTGATGATGGCCGGAGACGCTCCCAGGGTGCTGGCTATCTTTGAGACTTACAATACTGACACATTAATACTTTCTTAAAGGCTTGCCTGAATACCTTATTGAATATAGTATAAAATATGGGATTCACCATTGAACTGGCGTATCCTAACCATAACACAAAATCGAACACCCAGGGTGATATTCGCCCTTCGCATTCTGGACACACTGCTGGCACCATATTCAGAATGAAGAACGGCGCCCAGAGTACAACAAACGTAAAAAAAACTACCCCAAGTACTTTTGTGGCTTTCTGTTCTAGGCGCAAAATTCTACCGTGGCGAGAGGAATTCCTGGAAATTACACTAGAGTTCCTCGAATGATGGGTTCTAGGCGTTTGACGATGGGGACTCGGTGTTACAATTTGTTGGGGACGAGATGTTATTGACCTCTGAGCCCGTATACTTCGTACTGGAGTCGACAAAGTTGTTCGTGCACCACCAAAGCTAGAACCTCTCCTAAACCTTCTGGCTTCATCCCAAGTAACCATTGAGGCAGCCCCACGACTAGATCGTCTAAAATACTGCGGTTCTTCACCTTTCAAATTCCCGTTCCGTGGATAACCGTTGCAACCATTTATATCTCCACCGGGAACTATGATGACTTCGGTGGTCCGTCTGGGTGGAGTGGAATCTGTACCGAAATACGGGCAAGTGCACGGCGGGGGAAGTAGTAGACCGTCTTCTGAGCTCCTTGACTTCGCAGTCAAAGTGGCGGGAGCTAAAAGACCATCGTTGCTTTCGTCGTCTGACGCACTTCTGGGTCTATGCAAAGGAGTATTTGGTTCGCCCGTTGAAGAAGGTCGTCTTCTATCCTGAAGCATCGAAGATGGTGAACTGGACGATACACTCAGTGATCCGGGTGTCAACATGCCGCCTCGTTCAGATATGTTAGTCCTGTGAACAACAAACATGTTATTTCGCAACTCTAAAACAGAACAAAGTTCGCGGCCAAAATTGAATAAAGCAATTTGTAAAAATTTATCCCATTCCGTACGAAACAAACACTGGCTGTGCAAAAAATGTACGACATTGCAGAGGCAATACCGGTTCATTTCGTCGAAGAAGTTACAAAAAAAGCTTCAGTTAATACTGCTGCTGGAATAGATCGTCCAATCTACTACATTGCCTTGCAACATAAAGGTAGTGCGATCAAATTTTGAAGCGAACAGTTAGCCAATTGGTAATACCCTCTGTACTGTGGTTTGATCGCAGCAGAAGCTTCCAAGCCTCGCGATAGTCGCAACATCTCGGCGCCGAACTGGTGCAGTGCGGTCATGGCGGACGGCGCAGGCTCACTGTGCAACACAACACGGTATCAGGGCGACAACACATCGACAGCGACAGAGCATAACGACAGCGGGCAATGAGGTGTCACATGAAACATTTAATCAAACAACTTCAATTCAATACGAACACGAAAAGGTCAAACCAAATGCAGCACAGCACGTAGCAGAAAACGACATTGTACTACGCGTTCGCTTCGAGTTGGCTGTTCCCATCCTCCCCGCTTCACCGCACTACGCTCCTATAAAGACAGGCCATTAGTCGATCCCTTTGGTCGAAGGTACCAGTTGATGTGCCTGTGATTGGTCTGTGACACAATTTATAACGGTCATCGACGGCCAAGTCGAAGTGAACGAGTAATTATTGTTTATGAAATGCTATGATTTATGGCACAACTAAACGCGCGTTTAATGCGGCTATGTGCAGAGCTGCGCAGTACATGCGTTCGGTGTGACCCAGGCATTAAGGCTCACTTGCATCAGACTTCTTAATTCAAATAGAAAAGCTAATAATATATTTTATGCTTCCTTCTACCTATACTTTAATTTAAAGAATTAAAAATAAAGAATGATATAACAAAAAGGATTATATCTTAATTTAAATTAGGAATTTAGGTGCAAGTGGCTTTACAGGTAAAATAGCCTTTCCTAACTCTATTAGGCAAACGACGTACGCTTGTTATCCATCCAATTTGAAGTATAATCTTTATTACTTACCTCATGAAGTTGAATTTACCGCTTCACAAAATCAACAAAGTTTATATTTCGTTAAGATTATTTGCAAACTGGATTTTGCAAAAATATATAGTCTAAGCTCTAAGAGATGAGTTATTATGCTTTTTTCCTATAAACGCTGTCAGCGAGATGACGCTAGCTACTGTATAAATTTAAATTTTCGTAAGGCATCTTGACATTTGAACCAGTTTCAGAGCTATGGCTATAAGCCAAGTAAGAAGCTATAGTCATTATACGTGCACGTGTTTACAATTTAGAAAACACTATTTTATTAGCTACGGACAACATCACATCAAGTTATTAGAAAAAAAATGTGCACGGACCGCACATCTGAAGTGGAACTTCGTTTATTAAATAACCTACATTGGGCGGTGCATAAGTGTTGCCGCACACGGGCCACACGCCACAGCCACAAACGCCGCCACGAGAAGCTAGAAGCGGCTACTAAAGTGGCTGAAGCGCTCGACAGCGGCCGACTAAGGTAAGGGAGAGAGGGGTGGGGAATCGCGCGAGTGACGTGTGGCGGCGTTTTGTATCGGCGCATTAAGTGGCCGGTGCGGGCCACAAGAAGCGAGCAACGGCGATTTGTAGCGTGTGGCGGCCACCGGTGTATCGTGTGTGGCGAGTCCATATAATATATATGAAAACTACAAGAAATATGCCGGTGGCGGCGTTTTGTGGTTGTGACACTAAGGCATAGGGGAATGGAGCAGCGCACGCATCACTCATATATATGTACATTTTTTCATTGTAGCGTGTGACGCTCGTGGCGCATTTCAATTTCATATTTTCCATAGAATTTTTTCATTTCGGTGTAAATCGTCCAAAAAAACGTTTCACTTCAACATTAATTGGCTTTTAACCTAAATTTCTTAAACATATAATTCATAATTTGATAGAGCAAGTTTAACATTTTGTAGTGGCTTAAAGTACTGTTGAGTCTATTTGCATGCTTACGAGCTAGGGCAAGTCAGAACATTATGCAAATACCTATTCGCATTTTCTATCATGTTGGTTCTTCGTCGAGTACGTTTATAGTACATTACGTCGATCATCATATTTTTCGGTCAATGCAACCCGGCCCGGCCCGCCTCGAAATATTTATAATAGGAAATTCTACTCTTCTTGCAGATACGGTAAACCCAGACTTCATGTTAGCGATGTTTATTATGTTACTGTTCCTCATCCAAGAACATTAATAATAAACATAATTCCTCATCGTAACTACTCATTGGCGCACTTCCGTAAGCTCTCTTGTCATACGTACGATAGACTGATCCGCCCTTTCCTATATAGTGGACGCGGTACGCAAAAATGCACACTGCAGCGTTGCTGTTCGTCCCGCCACAAATAAATGCGAAGCTTTAAGCATAAAGTCTGGGTTCACGACATATACAAGAAAAGAAGATTACATCTCCTATTTCAATTCAAATTTATTATTTCCCTTCAATTCATTATGATACTTACTATCGCCAGTTTCAAATAATTCGGATTATTGTTAATTTACAGATATAAGTAGTTCTTTGTTCATTTGTTTTTTCTACAACAAATGCTGGGTTCTATGCGTCCACTGCGTCCACTGGGAGTGGGGCTTGCCTGGCCGGGTTACATCGACGAAAAAAATACGCTTTCCGAGCAATGCGCGGACGAGTTCCGTCGCGGCCCGGTACGCCCGCCTCTAATCGACGCAGATTCATACAAGCTATCTCTTATCTATTAGACAAGTCCGTCCGTCTGTCTGTGGTGCTGTTTCAGCGGCCAAACCGTAAGAGATAGATAAAGAGAATATTTAAGTTATAAGTTAAGAATAGTCTGATAAGACTACAAACCGGATTTGAGTAACGTAGCACTTCCGGTTTTCGAGAAATCAGGTTTTGGTGAACATTTGGTTCACTGGTTTGCTAGTATATGTATATACGCACTGGTAGACGCTAACCTTTTCAAACCTCCACTTTAAAGTTTCCCAGTCAAAGGTTGCAATTCAAACAGAAATACCGCTAGCTTTTCCTGCCTAATTAAACGAATCTTAATAATAATCGTTACATTAGGGTACAAATTTATTTAAAAACAAATACAGTTAAATGTTCAGAATCGCGCAGCCAATTATTATTTGATTGTCCGAAATGAAATACAACAGTTAGGTAATTGAATCATTTGCGAGAGATCGTTATCCGAAACCTTCATAAAAAAGTAATAATTTATCTGGGGATTTGGAGGGAATGCCTGTTTCGAGATTAATTTAAAATATAATGGATTTTATACGATAACAAAAAATAACCGAGGGTATTTAGTTTGTTAGGCGTAGCCCGCCAAATGGGATAGTTACGCTATTACGCATAGGAAAATAAATTGTATGCCCGTTTTACTTTTATGATATAGAAGACTATAATTTTTCAAGCTCTTTTATTAAAAACCCAAAGAAAATATGACTAGAAAAAATCCACTTGTTTAGGCTAGTAAATTCCGGAAATTCTCCGGAATCCCGTCTGAAACTTGGACCGAGTAGATTTTTTCTAGTAACATTTTCTTTAGATTTAAATACTTAAAAATAAAATTCTCTTCTATTTTTATTAAAAAATTGTATTAGTTTTTTTAACAGACGGAAAATTAGTTTATAACCATTGAAAACTGGTCAAGTTCTAAGAGACACGTTGAAAAACCACGTTTCGTGTACGGGATTAATATTGAGTAACCTTAGAGGGCAAAGAAGAAAAATGTTTTCAGTAAATCCTACATATTATGGTTCATGAGATAGATGGCGAAATCTCAGCAATAATTGGTTGCCTTTAGGCCCTATCATTAAGTTAAAAAAAAAAACATTAAAAGCTCACACACTCTTTCATTTATTACTGCCATCAAAAGGTTCCTTTTCATATCTGATTAACCTACGTACACAGCTTCTCTATTCATATGCCATTTATCAAACATTTTCTTAGCATGCACATAGAAATATCTAATTACATTGATAAGTAAATATGTTGTAATAGGCACTTTTTATAATTTTTTTAGCTTTTCGTAGAAAATGTTTGCAGGTCCGGCCCTCTCAGTTTAATAATTGTTCCGCTTCAAAGGCGTGTGTAAAGTTAAAAACTGTAATTTCTCTACGTCTGCCTGAACTTTTTATGGCCAGCCACCACAGAAAAGGGACGCTAATTTGATTGTTAAAAAATGTTGCGTTGCGAGCGCCCAACTTTCATACCGTAACGATAATAAAGTGAAACTTTTGCAAAATCGTTGGTTATAACCTTTGGTTATATGTATACACCCTAGATATCGTATTAGCGGCACAAAAATATCTACTACATATGATAGATATGCTGGTCGCTACACACGCACACATTGACTGCTGTAGTACAAGCTGATATTAGAGTCACGCACACATTACGGCGAAACCTCCGACGATCTCTGTGGCCGAGTGGTTTGTACGCTGGGTTTCATGGTGTCGCCGAATCGAGAGGTTCCGGGTTCGAATCCCGGTGGGGGCAGATGTTTGTGTGATAAATCAAGCATTTGTACTCCAGTCATGGATGTTAAATATGTATTTCTATATAAATATACTTATATGTACAGTATATGTATTGTATCCGTTACCCCTAGTATCCCATAAAACAAGCCTTACAGTGCTTACTTTGAGGCTAGGCTAACTGGTGTGAGTGTTGAAAATATTTATCATTATTATTTATTATTTAAACATGAGCCGATTGCTTTGCGTAATTTATTTGGATTGCTCTATTTAGGTATATAAAAAAATCTTATATATATATATAGCTTAGTTATCGAATGAGCGGTTTAATTTTTTGTTTTATAAGGCCAGCATATTTAAATAACGTTTGTCAATTTTTCGCTATCTTACTTCAAGGTTTTTCGTTCAATAAATTTGCTGTAAGTAACACTTGTGTTTTTCGTTCTCAGTACGAACACGCCATAGTAGAATGGTTGTGTTTCTGCGAATTGTGCACTAGTCATACGGAAACAAAAGTTGAAAACGTCCTATAAAAGTAAAGTTCGCCGAAAAGAGGTCTAATTAATGTCACTATATAAGTCTTCAAATGTCGGAAACATATTCAGTATGTTTTTTAACAAACAAAACGTTTTTAAGAAAGGGAGGGCATAGTGGATTTCCAGCTAGAATTGGAGCCATGTAAGCCAGTAAAATAACACTACCTTTTGGTGATGTTGTGTTTCTGCGTATCGCAAGCGTCTATAGACCATGGTGGCTCAAACCGTCAAAAATTTTGTCCGAAGACGAGATGAAATTTAACATGCCCACTTTACGAGTAGAGAAGTCACCCATTTTTTTATTTTATGAAGTGAAAACTTCTTTAGCGGCATTGTACACTTTTTTTTGTATGGGTATTTGTTTTAAATGTTAAACACGCGTCAGGTTAAACACGTGGGCTGATTGCATCATGACACACAATAAAATTGGAAAGGTTGTTGACTTTCAATATATTGTACGAAACGTAGTAATATTTTATGTTACCGTATTATTACAATAAGTCTCTATCTAGGACGTCCACGTGGCAGCTTTATTGCGAAGAAAATGCATTTTTTTACAATAGATGTCGCTAGGTGCGCTTAAATGTGATTCATGTAAGTTGATTTTTCTGAGAGATAAACTTTTTTAATGATATATAAATTGTCATGTTTTTGTACGATAGCGCAATAAATTAATATTGTATTCTACCATATACATGATAGTACTTTTATACTGATAATTAAAGCAATTCGTGCAAAATAATTCCCTAACCATTCCAAAATATCAAAAATGCACAACGTTAATATTCAAGTTTTCACTTCCGCCGTCACTCCCGGAGTGCAACCCGTCGTTTTTTTTATATAACCGTTGTATCAGTGTATCCAATTATAGTACGTATCTATTGCTTATTACAGTTTTCTTGTGCTAAGCACTTTTAAACTAAGAGACGGGCAGTCGGCTTTATAAAGGTTTCTTGTCGACCTAGAAACCTTAAAAAGGAACCAAAAAGTAAAAACATATTTATAAAAAAAAATAAGCATTATTAAAATGAAGTATCCCCAATCTAATGTATTATTTAGCTCAATAAATGCTTGTTTTTAATCAAATAAATTTTATTTTTACTGCCAACTTTTCATTACCGTTTATGGTTCGTTTTCTGGCAATGGAAACCTGCAAAGCTGGACATAATAATGTTGGTCAAGATTAAATATTTTTTTAAAGGTAAGTCGCTTGGTTTTTGTACTTACACATGCAAGGTTTTAAAGTATCACAAGCTATGTGTACCACAAGGCCAAAAGAAGTAACGTAATTTCTTCATTAAGGACTTATACATTATTACAAGTAAGATTGAAATAAATGTCTAGTTTTTTTAACCGGGCGAGTCAGACTCGCCCACAAAGGGTTCCGTACAAATTTGTAGGTACGCAATATAAAAGGCCGTATCTTTGTTTCACGTTAACTTAGAAGTTTGATTTTGTTCACAGCTTTGAGAGACCATAGTAGGGGACCAACTATTTTTCTAACAAATATAGTATCTTCGAAGCTGTTACCTAAATAGTTGGCAAAAAATGGAAAAGATATATAGTATATGGTTAAAATAATTACTTTATTTATGAAATGAATAAACTTTTTCTGCTCTGTGCCTCAATAATTACATTTATATTTTTAGCAAAATATTGTAGTTTCGCCTACTATTTCTTTTTATAAATATAGTATTTAATACCCTAAATTAGTAGGAAACTGTATGTCGACGATAGAATAAAACTCTAGTTAAATGTTAGAATTTACTTAGAAAAATATTTACAGATCGAAAACTAAAGAAAATGAAAAAAATAATATTTGACGTAAACAAGTGTTGCTATGCAACGAGAACGTCTAGGGTCTCGATCTCAACACTATGTAAATTATAAAAAGGGTTGGCAACCTTAAACCATAGATCTGTCTTATGGTTAAAATTTCAACTCGGTACCTTTACACGTTCCCGATTTAAAAAGTCTTAACAGACATACCGGCAGTCGGAAAACGGACAGGCGGACATCAAAGTGATCCTATAAGGGTTCCGTTTTTTCCTTTTGAGATACGGAACCCTAAAAACCTTAAAATGTAGCCGAACTATAAAAAAATTAAATACTAAGTGTAACGCAAACGTATCAAAAAGCATCATAATCATAAACTTATGTAGGCTTGTTGCATGTGAACTTACCTATATTTTCCATTTTTATTAGGTACATAAATTAATTTTGCTTTTGAAATAAGGTTAATATTTAGTAATAATTATTTATAATATGCTAGAAATCATTATTATACTATTTTGTCATGAGTTATTAGTGTTATTTAATTATGATTTTAGTGCTCTTGGGAATTATACCCTCGGTGCGCGAGTCCGACTCGCACTTGGCCGGTTTTTTTTTAATTTTAGCTTTGGATAACGGTGTCTGCAACGAAATAAAATGCTGCTTTTTGTAAAAATGCATGGATTTTAAATTATAATTTTTGAGTTGATATTCTAAAATGATATTCTTTCATCTTATATAATATTTGTTTTGGGCCGAATACCCGCCTCCATACAAATTCGGAAAATCGCATTTCGTGACTCTACACAAAACTTTTAAATGTTGTCCAACTCAATCTTTCCACATAAAAACGGAAGATGGTCCCTCTGTGCAATTAAAAAGTTTTTATTCTCTATTCCAAAGTAGTTGGGATACTAAAGAGCGCTATAAAAACTTTTTCATTGAAATTAAAGATAATTTTAAAGTCATTTACAGGCCTTTTAAACTTCGAACAACAAAAATGACATTACGGTATTCGAATTCTTTTGGTTGACAACTTCGATGCTGAAAGATGGTTGAAAATGTCAATTTAGAAATTTGTCATGAGATCACCAGGTCAATCATTTAATTGATATTATACAAAATATACTTGATTAGTTAAACATGACAAACTCTGTTGGGTATACTAATAATAGTCTTACATAACATTGATTTAATGATTGAAACTCGAGAATTCTATCCAGGAACAGTTTTTTATTATATCTATGTATAATTTTGATGAAAGCATCAAATATGACTAAGTTGGTATATTTCTTCAGGCAGATCGAATATGTCTACAAATGGGTCCCGTCTAGTAAATTAAGGGTGTCACTTTACTCCCACGCTCAAGCAACGCCCAACTTTCGGACTAGTTTCATTCAAATTCTTGATGCAGTTACATTCATAGTTTGTTATAATAAAATGCAAATTTAGACAATGAACAAATACTTAGCATGCCACGGCATACACACATACAAAGCAAGCAAAAACATACATACTCGTACGTACCTTAACAATTTTTTTTATAATAGTTTTCAACACGAAAATAGGAAGTAACAAAATTAATAAATAATTTGTATGATCGTATAGTGCAAAAGAAGTCACATACAATAGGAGAGTATTCCTTGTTTTACTGCAAATAGTCGTAAGAAAGATATAAAGATGCAAGTTCAAACCTTACATCTAGTATCTCTCTATCTACCACACGAGTAAATGAGGCACAGAAACAAAGCTTCATACAATAGGGATGATATCGGGATAAATTAAACCAAATTCTATTTAGTACTCCACTAATGGAATATGATAAAAATATAATGGTCAAATATTTTTTCTTTTGTCAATCAACCAAAAAAATACAAAGATAAAGTGCTTCAGAGTTTGGGAGTGGGGGCTCGTGACGTCACTTCTAAACAAAAATTGTACCAAGACGTTCACTTTTCAAGCGAGATTCCATAAAGATTCAGTAATATTTTGATTATGTGGATAAGGAAAAAATACGTGTCCAATACATTTTGACAATCCACTTGACAGACTCTAGTGACTGCTGCGTACGCAGCGTTTCTATTGGCGGCAGCAGGCCGCCAGTGTTCATTTGCATACGCGCAGCTGTATGAACCTTTCCCTCTGTGACTTCTATAATCATGTGGTATAACAACACCTACGAACGGCATATTTTTATAGGACCGATCTCATCAAACAAAGAGATTAACGATGTCCTATTGTTTTTGTAGGATCGACTTTCAGTATGACGTCTGCTCTGGAATAATGAAAGTCATCCTGTTCTATTTTTGTCCGACAAAAGTCTGACCCCGATTATCTGACGTTATATGAGTATATCGTAATGTAAGATGATACCAAGAAATATGATCTGAATTCACAAAAAGAAGCTGATTTGTAGGGCATCATTTGTTCTCGAGTTTTCCTTATAAAAACATTAGACAATCATGAAAATGAGAAAAAATGAATACCTGGAATCTTGTATCCACAAGTCCCTAGTATCTATGGGCGGAAGCTCGGTTTCGGTCGAGGCGGCGGAGTGCTGCGGTGTGCCACCTCTGGGCCCGAGGAACCTTTTCCAAGTACACCGCCTCTCTGTAACAGATAAATCTATCAAAATTTGTTAGCGAATTATCGTGCGTTTAATATATGAATTTTCGACCATAACTTAATCATTAAAGAGTATGCTGGCAAAAAGAGAAAACAAACAGATTTAATTGGATTCGTTTAGAGACAAAGCTATGCTTTAAGAACGGTCGCATGATTGAGCTGTCAAAGAAACGATTTATTGGTAAAAATATGGCTTGGAAAAGTTTAAACAATGAGTTCGGATCGGATTAGACTTGGCAGGCGTACTTAAACACAAGAGATGATGAGTCGATGTCTCGAGAGCCCAATTCGAGAAGAGCCGACGAGTTTTTGAAGAAAAATCGTGTCACAACAACAATCAAAGTATTAATTAAAAAAGTTGTGATCCATGCAAGGATGTTTGTTTGCAAAGGAATAGCGTGATATTTGTCCGCCTCTCCTACAGAAAATTTTACCAGAAAAATCCACGAGGACCAGGCAGCAGACGGGACTCGAACTCACACTCTCCACTATCCGTGCGGATGCACTGACCATTATGCTACCGCGGCCCTAATGTCCGTGTCGAATTTTCTTTTCTATTTCTTAGTGATAATGCGCGCCATTTCTTCTCATTGTAGGTTCGAGTCCCTTCTGCTGCATGGACCGCGTGAATTTTTTTCCAGTATAATTTTCTTTGGATTAAAACATCTAGCAGTTAAATGCTTAAAAAATAAAAATACATAAAATTCTTTTAATGTTAGAACATCTTAAGAAACTACTGTAGGCGATTTGCTAGCAACCAATGATAGCAAACGTGTTGAAGTACATATTCTATGTAAGGCTGATTTATACTGAATTCTGTTATCTATCTCAAAGTGCACTTTATATTTGGTCCTGCCAATCTCACAAAGGATATGTTAATAGTACTTGAATGTTAATTAAGCTCAGTTAATTGATCTTGTCATTGAAATGCTTACATTGAACTGTTTCACCAAAACGATAATTCTACTAATAACATCCCATGATATAATTGCGTAATGCTAATTAAATGTTCTCTCTCACACACACCCTCGTTCTGATTATAATACCTACTACAAATATGATATTATTGATATCAAGATATCTAATTGCATACAATCTTTAAAAAGGTTAATATGAAAAATTAGCCACCAGGCACTTTTTATTCAGTACCTTTACACTGTAGTGCTCTGATGGTAAATTTACTCACTGCAGAAGCATATTAGTAAAGAATAACATTCCCTAAACCTAAAGCTAAAAAAAGGGGACAAGGAACATATGTGTATTTTAATTTTGTATACAATAAAGTCCCAAGCAATATCCAAGAGTTAACCATTAATAAATTCAAAGATAGTATAAAAAAGCAGTTTTTAAAAAAGCTTATTACAAAGTGTATGATTACATTACAGACCTAAATGCTTGGGTTTTATCTGTTCCAATCATTCCAACAGGTTTTCTATATTAAATAAATCATGATTGTATTGACGCTGTAACAACATAATGATTTGTAAATGTTGTTACATTATATACTTTTAATGTTGTGGAGTTTTTTTTCTCCGCAGCTAAAAAATATGTCCAATAACGAGTGGTAGGGAAAAAGCAATTGTGGACGATTCAAAATAGTTGTACTATACATCCAATTTTTCTGTTTCTGTCCAAGTTTTTGTTGGATACTGATTGCTTACTAATTCAGTGATATCAAAGGTGAAATTTATTCATTCTATCTTAATTCTCATCTTTTCAAGCTTTCATGGAGAGCCGTTTTCTAACAAGCAACGAAAACACTAAAATTGTAATGCAAATTTGATGTTCCGAATCAATCTGTCAAGAATGACTGACAATTTGTCAAATAGGTCGACTTTAAAATTCCCCTTGTATCGAAACATAATAATTTTCGTTGAAGTAAAATACAGACAAGTGTCTGTAATTTTTCTAAACATTTCCCAAAAATAATTCTCAAAATTGTCACTTAACTTTTGTCACTCTTCAATTGTCAGCTTACATAATATATCTCAGTGACATATGTCAACTTAGTGAAATGGGGCCCTGATGGGAAATGGTTAGCATAACGTATGTACACGTATTTAACTCAATTGAGCTTTAATGTAATATAATAGATACACCAATTGTGAGTTTATTATATTACTTATTAAGAGAGATAACTGCAAAAAACTTCACATCAGCTTCTTTCTTTATATATTTTTTAAATGGAAAGATATGGTCGAACTTGTTTGAATAAATAAGATTTGAAAAAATAAGAACATAGAACGAAAGCTATTTATTGACGATACATATTCAAGGATTTGGAAAGCTTAGACGCTATTTTGTTTCTTTAGAGCGGACTGCAGTGAGTTGAATGGTCATAATATATAAATAAAACTTGTTTTTACGGGTTAATGCACGAAACTTTATTTATTTATTGACGTTCCGTAGTCTTTACAGGCTACGTCGTCAGAATCAAACTTTTATTTAATTTGTCGAGCTACCTTCGAAAGACTTTTATTGAGCGTTCGGTTATTTCATTGTTCGATTTTTAAAGTTTTATTGTCTATGTATGAATTTATTATTTAATTTAGTCAAAATATCTCAATATTTCAGTTGCAATGAAAAATTATCTTTGCAAGCTTTTGTTTAGCTTTGTCTGTCCAGACGTATGTCCTGATTGAACAATGTCATCGCCATTGTTTAAATTATCCTACGATTTTCGTTAAATTAATTCATTTATCTCTCAGACAGGGGCACAATTATTGTTGTTATTTCAAATTTATGTCCTCCGGTAAGTTCTAATATGGAGTGGTGTGAATCTAGGATGTCCCTAGAGGACAAACGTGTAACATTGACTGAATTTATAATTAAATATCAATCTAACAAAACTTATTGAGGTTAAATTTGGATTATACACCGTGAATTTTGAGGCAGGTACCGTAAAGTTCGATACCTGAGAAACTTGGCTAGCTTATTCAGACGATTTAGGTTAGGTATATTTCCGCAAATAATAAATTAATGACAGTAACGAGGCCTGACATTATAAAGAATAAGTTTGTTCCTAAGCCGGTCCATTAACTTTGAGTAATGTTAGATTAGGTATAAATCTTTGGTGGATATAATGTGTCTCATTCAATAAGACGATGTTTCAGAATCAGGGCACTGTAAACTTTATTATTATTTTTGGTCATATTCACGTGGAGGTCACTGTTTGAAAATCATCAGTTTTGTTTAATCCTTTGCAGAACTGCATTTTGCATTTATTGAGTTAGGGCCCGAAACAGTAGGGGCTGAGTTAAAGGCTCATTTATTTGCAAGAAGAAGTAGTTGTGTAAATGTGCACACGGAATTATTATCAGCATATTAATGTCCCTACTGGGGCATTGGCACTACCTATGGATAGAATACAATGTGGATCAGTAGGTGCTAAAGAGTGCAGATGCAAACTAATGAATGATTAAACGGTTTTTTTGAAGCTAAGAACTCAAAATGGTTAATGTTTGTTCATCGATCCTATAACCAGCCATTACGAAAGTGCAATAATCGCAGATTAAATACCTTCATCACTGCACCATGCACAGGAAATGTTAACTTGCCATCCCTTAACAGTGGCAATAATCTTAAAGAAAGCACCTTACGACCTGTCTTCTAATAATATCTAAGGGCAGGTCCTATCCTTATACACTCGTGTTTAATCCATTACAAAGCTTTTTGTTTGCTGCCGCTGTTGCCCGAGACACGAAGAAGGGTTCATCCGCAAACAGCAATGAAATAATAGAAAAGTTCACTTATTTATATTACGTTAGGAAGTTTCTCGTGCTATTACTAGGTACTCTTCCAGTCAACCTAAATTGATTTACGGAAGATTCAATCTTCCGATGGATTTTAACGTGTCATAAAAATATTATAGAAAATTTTATATCCAAATTTTCCGTTTTGGTAAAACTATTAGTCGCATAGTAGCGTCGAACCCATACTTATTTGACTTTCCCTAACTTAGATCCATTTAATTACCTAAACGATAAAATGTTGTTGCCAGTTACGTTAGAGATATTTTTAGTCACATAGCAGAACTAACTTAAATGTTGCCCGGGCAGATCCATTGAAATCGGCAACATTGATGTAGAATACCCTAGAGAGTGCACCGCGCTTGAATGCATGGCCAGATTTCAATCTGCTTTATAAAAACCTGAACTTTTACACCCCTTTTTGTAAAATAGCAAGTATAAACGACGGGCCATATACTTGGTTTTTTATAGGTTGTGGTGGCATATGGCTATCAAGCGGACATTATAGCAATAAGGGCTACCGTTTTTTGTCTTACCATATGGCGCCACTGTTAATTGAGGTCCTGAAGTGCTTTTAAAGCTCCTTAATACGCAAGTGAAATAAAAGTTTACATTTTGATCATATTTTGATACAAAAGAACTGTTTGGTTTTTCAGGGCGGTTTCCGCACTTAGTCCTAATTATTGGACCATTGTGCGTGTATCAAAAACATTCCCGTTTACTCCAGCCAGCCTATATTAGTCCAGAAGGAAAGCAGCCTTGGTAGACTGCTGCAAGCTTCCAGAAACGATTCTGGCGACTGGAGAAGTCGTGCCCGTAGTCGGCCATGCTCCTGCATTCCATGATGACATGCTGTGGCGTTTCTTCTGCCTCCATGCATCCTCTGCATAGGGGGCTGTCTGTTACTCCTATTGTATATAGGTGTTTGCTTAGGGGACAATGACCAGACAGGGTTCCTATAATCCTGCGAAGTTTGTCCCTATTTAGTCTGGTAAAGGTGCGGCCAAAACTTTTATTTGCCACCGGAACCGCGTTTTTCGTTTGCCGGCATCCTTCACCTGTTTTCCACTCTGTCAAGTATGATTTCTGAGTTATTTCACGCAGCCACGTTTTAATTTGGGCCTGAGGAATGGGCAGCAAAGGTTTCGGACCTTACACTTTTGTGTTCACAAAAGAACCGTATCGTAAACGTTATCGGCCATGCCATAGTATTGCCGCAGTTCCGTTTTGTTCAGA